TTGCCCAGCTGCTTCCAGAGCTATGGGTAGGTGAGCAGGGTTACCTTGATGGTTCCTGTGGGACTTAGCAGGTCAAACTGATGAGGGTAGGTGAGTGAACAAAGTTCATGCCTTTTATTTTTTTGGGGGGTGGGGTGGGGTGGAGGGTACCGGGGATTGAACTTAGAGGCACTTGACCACCGAGCCACATCCCCAGCTCTATTTTGTATTTTATTTGGAGACAGGATCTCCACTGAGTTGTTTAGTGCCCCACTTTTGCTGAATCTGGTTTTGAACTCACAATCTTCCTGCCTCGGCCTCCTATGCCACTGGGATTAGACATGTAGCACAGCGCCTGGCTGAAGTTCATGCTTTTACTCCAGACTGTATTTCAAAAGTACTATTGCTATGATTCAATATCCTAGTACACACACACACACACAAAACACAACTCATGTCTTTAGTATTAGTATATCCATATTACCTGGGGTTAAGTGAAAAAAGGTATGAAGAATTCAGTTCAATACCATAAAAGAGAACAAAATGCCCAGTCAGAACCTATGATCATGAACAAGGCATTTTATTTCAACCAAATGTATTAATCATAATTTATACCAAAGTAACTAAAAAATTCTAGTAGAAAATATCCACATAGATTAGGAAATAGGCCAAGCAATTTATAGAATTTAATCAACAACATAATGACAGTCCAATTGAAAGAACTGAAAAAAACATAAGAATCATTTTTAGAAGGAACAATTAGAAATATGTGATGCTTGTATATGTCATACTTGGAAGCAATACTAACACTAATTTTTCAATAAATGTGATAGTCAATTGAAACAAAATGGCTTCTTTTCTGTTCAATTTAACAAGCAAATGAGCTAGGATTATATATAGCTCAGTGGTAAATAATCTGCCTAAAATAAATTAACTCTGAATACAAAGTTCATACCTATTTGTTAAGACATGATTTTTCATGCTAAAAATCTACTCTTGGTTTTATTTCACTAGATGAAGATGTCATCTTGCTTGGTGTTGTGTGCAAAGTCAAGAGTTCCTGGGTATGGCAAAACTCTCCTTTGTGCTAAGAGGGCCACCAACAACCACTTGCCCCATTCTGATCACCATGGACTAAGACATCTGGCTTTGTAGGATAACCACTCTTCAATAGGATTCTAGACTCTTTGCTTAAAAAAATCAGATGTATAACCAAATCCTGAAATACTATATGTCCTCTAGAACCTAGTCTACCTTAAATGATCTTAGATATAAACATGTTAAGAACAAGAACTTTTTTTAGTGAGAATAAACTAGTTAGGTATCTATTGAATTTCCACATAAGGAAAAGGCACTATAGCATTGGGATTAACAATATGTACTATAGGAACCACAATGTCTGAATATTATTTTAGACTTCTCTGTGTCTAATTTTCTTCATTTATAAAATGGGGATGTTAATAAAAATAGCACCTATTATAGAACATGCTTTCTCTCAATTATGTAAATATGGTTCTTACCAGGTAAGTTGAAAAAATATTTATGAACAAAGTAAAGATATTCATATAGTACATTTAAAAAATACATACAGTACATGGTGGGAGAGTACTCAACAAAAAAATGTCTAAAAGGCTCTTTATGGAGTCTATCAACAGGTTGAGAATTTAAAAGAGTTGAGAAGACTATATTATGCAATATTTAAAAGCATTAATAACTATGCCTGGCATATAGTAAGCACTCATAAAGTAAAGAGTCTACATCTACTTAAAAAGGCCAACTGAATCCCCTGAAAGCTAAAATTTGGTTTCAAAAGGGAATTCTACATTCTTAATATATAGTGACTTACGTGGGAGCGCAACAACTGATATGCAAGGAGTAGAATCATCAATACTCTGATCATCCTCAGAGGACAAACAAAGTCTCTTATGTGGAGGTTCAGTACTATCTTCTGAGTCTATTTCATCAGCTTCTAATGGAAGGAAAAGAACAATAAACCAAAAAAAAAAAAAAAAAAAAATCTCAAAAACTTCAAACCAATAAAGAAAAAACAAAATCTCCAGCTAGTAGTGATTCTACAATGATTTTCTTACCCATTAGCTTATTTAAACCCAGCTATGCAAACAGGCCTCAAATAACATAATCTTCTCTATGCCTACTGTAGTACTGTTACAAGTATTATGTCTAGGAACTACAAAGACGCCACCTTTTAAACCAACCTGACTTTCAAAACATTTCATGTACAAAGACAAAAGCAAGTTATATGATTAATTCACAAATATTTACTAAAAGCCTACTGTGTTCTAAATGCAAATAGAACAATGAAGGATATCCTGCCTGTCAGGGAACTTGCAGTGCAGTGGAGATGACTAAACCAATAATTTCAAAATAATGTAGAAAGTAATGTAACAATAAAGCTATAAAGTTGGAATGAAGAGCCTTTTTGAGAATACAGAAGAGATTAGACTAGAGGTGAAGGAATGATTCCTAACAGAGTATCTTAAATCTGAAAGCAAGGCAGGGTAAATGATTATTCTTCCTGGCAGTAGGAGCAATATGTGCAATGGTACTGAGGTATGCTATGGAAACAAAAAATAGTTATAACTACTAAAACATAAGTGTATGACATGTGGCAGGATGTGAGGCCAGTAAGAAAGATAACATGATGAAAGGCCTGAGTGCTAAATTAAAGGATTTTACTATATTCTAAACACTGGAAGGTTTAAAAAAATCTTAAGCTACTGAGTATCATGACCAATTTCTTGAGCAGTCTGAAAGATGAATTTGAGGTGGGAGACTGGTTAAAGGCTATTAGGAGTTACTTAGATGAGAAAAGAGTATCTGATCTAAGAAAGAGGGACTTGAAATAGAGAAATGGATTTTTAAAATATTATAGCATGAACAAGTCTTCATAACGGAATGAATGTGGGAAATGAGAGAAGGAATGTATTCCTAAGTAATTTATGACCTGGGACACTAAATAAAAAAGAAAAAAAGAAGCAGGTTTAGGAAGTGTCTGAAAGAACTATTTGGGATGTGTGAAATTTAAGGTGGCTATAGGAAGCACAGATCATTTGAATGGGTTTGTGCTAGTTAAAAACCACAAGTTTGAATAAAGTAACCCAAGAATTTTAAAGAGTAGAAAGAAAACAGAATCCATATTAATAAAGATGAACTTAAACGCAAAATACTGCTGGCACCAAGTGATTGATATTATATATATACATATATATATATATATATATATATACACACACACACATATATATATATATACATATATATATACACACATATATATATACATATACATACATATATATACATACATACATATATATACATATATATACATACATACATATATATACACATATATATACATACATACATATATATACATATATGTATATATATGTATATATATAATATGTGTCTTATAGTTATTCCATCATCATCTTTGGATATTTGATAGATCCCATTTATAAAATAACTATGAGATTGATAAAGTCTAAAATTTACGATAAATTTAAAAACATAAAAGTAAATTTTAAAAATATATGAACTAAGATTAAGCCATGATCCAAAGAGATTAACTCCTTTTCTACCCTGCTAGGCTATACTGTCTGTCTGGGTATTTCTGATAAGGAATTCAGAAATCCCAAGAGTCACAAGTATATGTTCAGCAAGTTCTCCTACCATTCTGAGGGCAATGAAGAATGAGGTTCCCTTCTGTGTCCTGAGTCAATGTCACAGAGTTCACAGTTTCTACTGTTACTGTGTCAGAATCCTCTTCAACTGTGCTCATACTCAAATCTGTACAAGAATAGACTCCACATTAGAATTTTAAAAATTATTTCCAGATAGAAACATGAAGTGGTAACCCCTCCCTCAACCAAATATCCCACGTTTATTTTGGTATTGCCTATAGTGTTCTTTATGTGAAATTATAAATTCAGATTTCAAAAACTGCTATTAATAGTTCATATTCATGAATTAGAATCAGATCATCTGCAAGAATCTGGTTTAATTCGAAAACAAAGCACGTATTTTTAAAAAAGAGTTGTTTTTACTATACCCAATGAATGAGAATCTGTTTGAAATAATCTGTTTCATTTCTTTGGGTCCTAGTGGACTGAGCCCAGGGGTGCTTTATCACTGACCACATCTCCAACCATCCCTGCCCCCCACTTTTTAAGTAGTCTTGCTAAATTGCTGGGATTATAGGTGTGCGCCACTGTGCCCAGCAGGTTGTTTTTATTGGCACCTTGTCATATTAACTTCTGACTGTTTAGTAGAAAATTCATCAAAACTTTTATTCTGATCTACAAATTAGTTTACAAGACACTTCTTATAGGTATTTAGGCTCTCTTATCTAAAAAATAGGAACATTAAATAATAATTCTTGCTGTCTTTTTCATAATATGAAACAAATATATCCATCATTGTCTTTTCTAATTTTATTCTTGTTCACAGATCAGTCTTAGAAATACAATCTCATGGTTGGTAGGGGTCAATATATTGGATTACAATCTATGGTCTGGTTGAAGTCTTCAGAATCATTTTATACTGTTCAATGGAGCTCCTGTCTCAATATTTAGCTTTGGTCTTGTCCACATACTTTCTGCCAACTGAGAAAGACTTAGCCTTGATGTGTACTCAGTCACTCAATATTTGCTTTTTTGACTTTTACACACAAGATATTAATCCATTCATATATGGTATTTACCATTTTAAGTTAATGTGTTTTCCTTTCACTGGAAATAACATTTACACTGTGAAAATCCAATGGTTCACTGAAATTTTACTATAAAAAGTCATTATTCATCTTACGATTGTATTGATGACATTCTCAAGACAAAGATGAATGAAAATCATGATCTAGATATGACTAAAATTTGCAAACCATGAGGGAAGGACCTTGCAACAAAGGTATTCTTACCTAAACAACGGTTGGATCAGCTATAGCCCTTCCCACAGAATCAAGTTGCCTTCCCTTATCCAGCCGCATCACTTTCATGTTATCCAGATTGTTTCTCCCCCATGTTCTGCAACACTGAAAAATTAACAGTATTACAAAATGAGACTTAATAACTGAACACTAACAGTATTCTAAAATACTCTAACCTCAAGCCTCTGTGATGTCTCAACCAAAAAAGTTAAGACAAAAACAAAATACTTTTTTAAGTAGAACTTTTGGCACTGAGCCTCAAAATGTATTCTCCAATAAAGAAATAACAGAAATGATGAGTTTCTTAACCCAAGCTGTCTCTCATCAAGCAATTAAACATTCTCTGAAAAAACAGGTTTAGCAATGCTAGTGGTTACTGTGGCATCATCTGGTGTGTATATCAACCAACTAATTACCATAAATATTACCAGTAACAATATTTTTTCTTTATGGTGAATTCTTTATAATACCACGATTTTATTTTAAAGCACTAAAAACTACACAACTATCTTCATTCATAAACCATTTTAAGAAGACAGGTGAACTACATCTAGGAATTTGTGGAGAAAAACCCCATCAGACCAGAAAAGGTAAATTACGACTATTCTTAATATAAAATATTATACAATCTGAAATAATCAGTTTTTAACGGTTTCTTTCAATAGGTTTCTCATCTTCATCCGAAAAGGCCAACTAATTAAAAAGACAGGATCTGAGGTTTATGGGGGTTGTTTCAACAAAAATTAAGAATTAAAATTTCCATTTCTCTCAGCATTCTAATTAGAACTTCTCTTCAGAATGGCTGTATTAGAAAATTGTTGTACATAAATTTGCAGTGAAAAGATATAGATTCTGCTAGAGCTCTTTAGAACTCCAGATATTAGATTCCACATTCTTCTCATATCTGAATCCATTAAATTATTTTAAAAAGCTGGTCAATAATTCCAATTACAGAAGATAGAGGAACAAAATGTTAAAAAAGGGGCAGTTTAAAATCATACATAAACATATGAAAAAAAAATCAAAAATTACACATTTTTGTTGTGGTTCCTTCTTATCTCCTGTTTATATGCAAAGACTACAATTTTATATCTTCCTTTAGCGTTCACTCACAATGAAAAATGCTAAGGAAATCATTTCACAGGAATTTTTGTGTAACATTTAAAACTTATGGGCATAAAAAATATGACATTATTTAACAAATCCTCTATCACTGGACATGTATGTTGTTCCCTGTATTTAATTTCCTTAAATCATACCAAAACATTCAATACAATTTACTTAAATAGCATTAGTAACTGAAAACTAATCTATAGATATGATGAAATTTTAGACTTTTTAGTGATACAGCAAACTATTTTCCAAAAAGGTTGTACAAACTTAACGTTCGGTTTAAACTCTACCCTTGGTAACCGTGCCATTTTTATTTAAAAAGAAACTTCAGGGCTAGGAAGGTAGCTCAGTGGTAGAGTGCCCATCTAGCAGACCCATGACATTGGGTTTGATTCCCAGCACCAAAAATTATAGTAAAAACTTCAAAGCAAAACACAACTACTTATTTGACAGGTGCAAAGTCATTACTGCCTGTTATGGTTTAGATGTGGTTCCTCAACCAAGATCCATGTGTTGGGAGCTGGGCCATAGATGGTGTGGAACCTTAAAGAGGTGAAGCCTAGTGTTAAGTCTTCCGTTAAATTGGAAGCAAACCCTCAGGGATAGTGGGAACTCAGTCTCCTGTTTTGTTTGTGGTACTGGGAATCGGATTCAGCACCTTGCACATGCTAAAAAAGTACACTCTACAACCTCAACCCCCTCAGTCTCTGGCTTTTTTTTGTTCTTCCTGCACAGGATTTTGTCACTTGCCATGGGACCCTCACCAGAGCCAGCACCAGGCCTCCAAAACTGAATTATATGTCTTTTTAAAGTAAGTCCGCCTTGGTATTTCATGATTATAACAAAAATTTACATTTTTAATTTCACTGAGATACAGTATGGAGAATGGACAAGGCAATGTTATAAAGATATACTGTCCAAGAGATGACTGTGTGGTTTAGAAAAGTGGCCGCAAAGGGAAGGGGCTGAACAGAGGATACAGGGAAAGGGCCAAAAGAATTTTCTAAATAAAAGACAGAGACTAGGAAAAGAGGGGCTATCTCAAGATAATTCCCAGGCTTTTGACTTGAATAGATAACTTTTGAGACACTTAAAATCTAGAGATGTTTTATTATACATTAAATTTTTTAAATATCAGTGTTATTGTTTAAAAAGATTCAAAGCATCCAAAAGAAAATCCTAAATTGATAGTTGGTATATATAAACTAAGCTCAACAGAACAGGATTTTACCTATAAATTGGAGTTAGTGGCATGCTAACTAATATGTGTATGTGGTGCTAGGGACTGAACCCAGGGCTCCATGCATGCTAGGCAAGCACTCTTTTACCACTGAGCTAAATCCACAGCCCACAAACTACTCTTTCAGATTACCAAGAATTTAGAGGTGGCCTAGATCTCATCTCTAGAACACTCTATTATATACATTTCAGTCAAGAGGAAGACAAGTAGACTGGGAAGCACCAGCTAGTCACAAAGAAAAAACTAATGATGAACTAAAAAGCACGAGAATGTTTTCTTAATGAACATTAGTCAACTATATTGAATTAGATGACAGAGAAATAACTATATGATCTGGCAATATGAATAAAGTAATTTCAGTAGAATAGAAGGGGCAGAGGCCTACTAGAAAACTGAGAAATTGGAAAGTTGGAAAGACCTCTTTCATATGCATTACCTTTGAGGGTGAAAAGGATGAAAGGAGCAAGTGGGGTCAAGAATGTTATTTAGAAGAGTTCTTCCATTAATGTTATGATGTTAAAATGGAGAAATGTTGGTGATACATCAATTTATAATGGTAAGGTAAGAAGTTGAATAATTTAGTGCCTTTATTCAATTTTTTTTTTTAATATACATGAAACTATGCTTACCTTCTGGAACCTTCCAGTCTTTGTTTTATCAGGGGTATATACCAGGAAGAATTCCAACTCTATCATAAACTTTTTGGAACACACAAATATAACATCATCAACATATTTTAGCGTTCCCTTCTTATGTTTTAAAGGGCTATACCTTAAGTACCACTTTTACGCTAACTAGCAATGAGAAGACATAATGAAAAAAATTTAAACAGCCATTTTATTCTAACTGGTGAATTCACATTTTAATATATTCCCATCATTTAGTAAATATCTTTAAACAACAACAATACCCTAATAAATTCAAGAAATAAACACGTTAAGTGTAATAAACATTTATAATGGCATTTTTATGTATCTTCACAACAGGAAAATACAGTTGCTTGTATTTAGAGCTCCTGATAGATAAGATGACCCTGATTTCATAAGAATCCAGGGGTGAACCATAAAAGAGAGGAAAGAGACCAGGGGGAGGCAAAGAGAAAATACTGGGGAATGATAATAGCCAAATTATATTGTTATATTGTGTGCATGTATGAATATGTAACAACAAATCCACCATTATGCACAACTATCACATGCCAATAAAAAATGTGGGGGAGAGGGATTAAGATGACCCTATTTAATATATAAACAACCTGGTAGAACAAAAAGAAAGGGCTATGCATAAAGAAGTTACCATTCCTGGATTTATTAATTTAACACAGAATTCAAAACCAAACAGGGAAAAGTCATGTTTCTTCCTAGTTTTGGGGGCTAGGTAAGGTAAGTAAGGTACTATCAGTGGCAAATCATGAGAAGCAGAGGAGGCACCACTATACACCCCGAATGCCTAGAGCTGATTCTAAAATGGGAGGTGGGATGAAAACTATATGGCATGAAAAACCTTCAGTACAGCAAAATACTCCCATAACGGGGAATTTAGCAAGGTATAGAATATATAACAACTTTATTGAATGAATTTAAAGATTGGCTAAAAGGCATAATTCAAAGACACATTTAGTTTTCACATTTCCTGACCCAATGTAGCATAAGAAAAAATTATCCACATTTCTCTTTTTGAATGCCTTCCAAGTCTTTTATCTATATACCAACTTTAGTTCTTAAAATATCGAGATCTTTTATAATTTTTTAAAATCATTTTCAATTCTAATATTTATTCTCCCACTTTTAATAGATACATAGCATCTAAATTTGTCTAACCATTACATATTAATGAACATTTTAGTTTTCTGAGATTATGCTATTATAAAAATTCCATAATGCTTACACCATATCTGTTATTGTATGTAAGTAATGCCTTAGGAAATATTTGAGGATTTGCATAGTAACATATAACAATTCAAAGAAAATACATTTACAATTTTTTTTACTCTGAAAGAATACAACTTTACTAAATACAAAAATCTTCATGGCAGATAAAACATAAGAATTCCTACATCCTGAAAATACATAGAGGGATGTCAGAAAACAGACAAAGCCAAAAAATAACATCTTCCTAAGCATCAGTTTTATTCCCCAATAGGAACAGAACCGTCACTAAGGCAGAATGCTTGGACTATAATTGCTGACCCCTAAAACTGGTTCCTTTGTATACCTTGTGGGAAAGTTTGAGAAGATTTTTAAATCAATGAAAGCATAACAAATTAAGGTACCTAATGTTCAGCATGGTTTGGTTTTATTTTTATGGCACTGAGTATTGAATCCAGGGGTGTTTTTTCATGGAGCTACATCCCCAGACCTTTTAATTTATTTTGAGACAGGATCTTGCCAAGTCACCCAGGCTGGCCTCAAATTTTTAATCTTTCTGCCTCAGTCTCCCAAGCTGCTGGGATTACAAGTGTGAGCCTCCATGCCCAGCAAGACTTGGGTTTTAAGAAGATAAAAATATGACAATACACAGTAATGCGTCAATAGACTTGTTAATAAAATTTAAATCGCTTAAAATGTTGATTCAATTATCAACTATTGAAAAAATGTCATTGTTATTCAAAAAAATGGAATTATTTGGTAATATGGGTCATATCTTGGTATAAGACTCATATCAGGCTTGGCAGTTTTAATTAAGGAGTTTCTTTTTCATCCAGCTCATAATTGAAGAGATTACAGTGTGTGTTTGTAAGATTTCATCCTTTCAAAACTGAGCACTTTTTATACAGGTTACCATCAGAAGCTCTTTAATGGGAACCACAAATTATCACCACATACCCCTGATTTAAAAAGCATACTTCCTTACAAAAATACACATAGGCAATTATAACAAAACAAAAATCCATTTCTTTTGTTACATAACAATGGATAGTAAGTGAATAATTAGTTTTCACTACTGGTGCTTGGAAGAATGACCTGACAACAGTGTACATAATCAAATGACATTTTAAAATATGACATTAAGAAAAAGAAAACTGGTCGTCAAGAGTTCTCCAGTGTGCTTTTTCCTGACAACTCCTTTCTGTTTTTCACACACAGAATGGGCTATCTTTCCACAAACTTGAAAAAACATGAAAAATAGATTTGTCCTTTTATTTAAACTTTATCGTCATTTACTTCTAGGGAGTCATAATCTCTTCACAAAAACACCTTCAAAAACAAAGAAATGACATGAAAGCAAACAAATGTACATACATCTTATATAACTATCTGTATTTTCCAAGTAACCCTTGGCAGTAGGTTTAACACTTTTTCCTATTATATCATTCAAGAGGTAGAAAAAGTTTTTGGAGTTTAAATTACAAAACACTTAAATGTACCAATTACCAGGGAATCTTTTTTATACAGAACACAGTGCTGAAAATTACAGTGATAAGAAAAAAAATGGAGCATTAAAAAGGAACACTTCATTTTGAGAATACAGTGTATAGTACAACTCTGTATTAATAGGCAGCCTCTATATGATATAAATAAGTGGAATGAATCCTTCCTAAATTTTGTTGCTGTTCTAAAGTTTCTACGTTTTTGCAACAGAGAGATGTGTGTTGAATACTAGTGATCTAGGTCCTCCACACTTCAAAAAACACTGCTAATCTCCCTCAATATTTTAACATTTATGTGCCAAGCTGTAAGTTCTTAGAGACACTTGTTTCTTCGATTCATCCTCACAGATGTTAATTTTAAACTAATGTACTTAATGGAGTATGACAAAAGCAACTGTTCAAAATAAAGAGATGTTATTTTCAGGACATATAAATTTATTATACAGTCAATAAACAGTAGGGTCTATAGTCAATGGGGGAGATAAGTGAGTCTAATAGAAAGATAAGCATTATGTGGGGGGAAGATAAGGGAAGTTTGTTGTTAATTTAATGACTACCTAACTTTATAAATACACGAATCTCCCTCCCCTTTAAAAGCACCTTTGAGGTGGAATGAGATAAACTTTATCTAGCTGGAAAAACAAAAACACAACAGTACCTAAGAAAAAGTGGGGGTGTTACAACACTAAAGAGCATACATACCTACTTTTTTTTTTGGTTCCAGGGATTGAATTCAGGGACACTTAATTACTGAGCTGCATCCCCATCCCTTTTTATATTTTAAAAAAGAGTCTAGCTAAATTGTTGAGGCTGGCTTTGACCTCCCAATCCTCATGCCTCAGCATCCTGAACCACTAGGATTATGGTCCTGCACCTACTTTAAATGTTTCTCTCAGCAACCGTTTCCCAGCCATGCTCTATTTTCAAAGCTCAATTCCTAAATCCAAAACTACAATTTCTTTCCTTCAAAACTTCTAAAGCCTTAACACCCAAAGAAAAATGTTAATATAGCATGAATATGTATACACAATAGTATACTTATTCCTGTAACTGCTAGAAGTATGAATGCCCAGTACTTACTCTTAAATGTTGACAAAGAAAGGGCCACAGTATTTTGGCTCCACCATCTAAATCAACTGTAATCTATTAAAGAGATTCATGCAGAATAGATAGATTCTATATTAATCCCAAAAACATTTTT